CCTCGCCAGAGTGACCTTCAGTGGAGTAATCAGCTCTTCCTCCCTGGACCTTTTTTCTGCCTTCCAAGAGGTCTGACGTTGCGGCTGAGCCTGCTTCTGCCTGATCTTTGCCTTGGACTTTTCCTCGGTCGACACAAGCGATGTTGTCCGAGCATTAGCTGCCTCCTCTTCTTCTAGGCGCACAAAGCCATCGGCTCTTTCATTGAGTTCATCCATAGTAGTCGGCGTGTTCACTACCAGACTGGTGTGAAACGGAGTTCCGCGTGTCATGGCTAACTTGAAGGCTTGAACTGCTGTAGAAGGGTGGCATTCGATCACCATACTCTTAGTGAGATTAAACCTGGTAAGAAAGGCCTGGAGACGTTCATCCTTGTGCTGCCTCATCGTGAATAGGCTCGAGATGTCCTTCGGCGGGCGCTTGTTCCCATAGTACTGGCTTATGAACCGATCGCACAGGTTTCTGAAACTACCAATGGAGCTCCTAGGCAAGTTTTTGAACCAGCTGAGCGCCGGTCCGGCTAGGCTTGTAGGGAAACATTTGCACATTAAAGAGTCATTTTCCGTATTCAGGGCCATTTTCAACTGGATATGATACACATGATCGATCGGATCGGTCGTTCCGTCGAACAGAATAAAGACTGGCATAGCAAACTTCCTTGGATGCGGGGCATTCAAGATCTCGTCGGTGAATGGTGAATCAACCGTCCGAGCTGCGGATCAGAGAGCTTCATTCTCTCTCTGGAGTCCAGCGGTAGCTCTGTGAGTTACGGTTCTGCCCTCCGAACCGTGATGAGTGATAGTAACCATGGAGGGCCGGTAAGACGGATCGAACGACCGTTCCTCTATGAACTCTCTTTGCCAAGGCGACGCTACTCGACGGCGATCAACCTCCATCACTTCCTCTCGGTCGAACCTTTCCCAATGTGGATCAACGTGAGTCGATCCTTCGTGATCTTCAACTCGACGAACATTTGGCGGCAAATTGTCCATCATCCTTTCATCACGGTGGTGAGCTGACTGATCGTTCTCGTCCTGTTCGCCTTGATGAGCGATATTAGATTGAACACCTCCTTCTCCGACCGGAAGTGGACGCGAAACCGCAGGTATTTGCCGATGTTGCATTCCAGCTTTCAATTCTGCATTCTCTTTTTTGAGAGCTTCAATCAAGTTCATCAACTCCTCAAGCTTTGTTTGCTGGACAGCCTCCATCGGATTGGAGCTTTCACCTATCATTATTCCCGAACGGAGTAAAGGCATTAATCTCAAGTTCGCGAGTAGATCCGAGCTTCGTGAGTAGGAATTTTTAGATCTGGCTTCTAATTCTCGGAATTATGCTCACTGTTTACGAGATCTGAATTGTCTGAACTCTAAATCCGTCAGATCCTGCCACAATCGAACAACTCGTTGTTGCGTAGATCTGAAGTCACTCCTGCCAAAGCTTCAAGAATTGTAATTCCTCCAGAGTAGGTCACAATCGCTCAGATCTGGATCCAAATCCCAAAGATCGAGTCTCGATCAACCGAATTGGTTTGAATCCACTCGATATTCCTCATTGATCAACCAAACTTTCATGCATTTCCCACAGACGGCGCCAATTGAAGATGCAAGAAATTCATTCCCCTCTTTCTCTCTCTAGAATTCTTACACCTCAACCAAAAAGATCCCCCTCCTTTCCATTCCGTATCCTATTTATAGATATTTACAAGATATTTACAAGATATTTACTAATTGCTGGATCTGGGCCTATTCCTCCATAAGTCCTGGTCACCTTTGATGGGTTTACTCGCGTTCGGCCCATATGGCAGTGTCTTTATATGGGCCGACCCAGCTGTACGGACTGAATGTAGTGTTTGCAAGTCGGATCCGGCCCATGTCGTCCGGGGCCTCCTCAGAGGAAGATTTTGTTCCCTACGGCAATGTATTGGACTTGATCGGCGACGACATGGGAAAAATGTTAGATTGAAGCCATTGTAGCGAGGTGCTTATAGTGGGAATCGAATCGGGATTGCTCAAAGACAATCTGGGTCAGTTCGTTAGTGAGTTGAGAATTGGGTTCGATATTGAGTTTGTTTCGATTCGTACCTTTGAATTCTTATCGTTCAAAGTAATCGGACTCATGGATGGTGAGAAAACAGTCTTTATTTTTTCTCCGACAATCCAATCAACTGTCGGCGCCGGAATTTTGACTGATCTCCAGCGATTTTCACCATACGTGGTGGTGTACGAGGACAACGAAGGATTAATAGATGGTGGGATGTTATGGTTCCATGAGTGAGTCATAAATAAGCTTGAGTTATGTTGGGAGTCTCTTAATGGAGGAGGCGGCGGCGACGATCTGGTTAGAAGGATTGAGACGTTTCTATTATGTCCGAAGATTTTCTCGGCGTGGAGATGGCTGTGAGAAGTAATGCGATGCCGTGGAGGGACGTGTTTATCGGCCCGAGAATAAGGCCAGTGGTGTTGGGTCAATTTCCAGCAATTATGGTCGCCGGACCTTGATGTGCGAGAGGAAGGGCTCTCTGGTTCGCAAAACAGATCCCATCTCATGTGGTGAGCCCACTTTGATCTGGGTCTGACCCAGATTGAAACGGCTAACCCATCAAGATAAAAAAAATATACACAAAACTTTTTTAGGTATTTTTGGAAAATTAAAAGGGTAAAATGGGCATTACAACATAATTTTAGGTCAGATTTTTATTTAAGGGTGTTTTCGCACAATGTTAAAAGATTAAGGGTGTTATTTGCACAGTTTTTCAAATAGGGGGTAAAAGTGCTACCCAAAATATACATTAGAGGTGTTTTCTGCACTTTGCCCTATATAGATATTAACAAATTTTCACTCTATTTAATCTTATAATTAGACATGTCAATGAATATGATTTCAATCCGAATTCGAATCCGAGCCAATTAAGATATGAATTGGAATATTTAATCCAATAACTCATTAATGATCCGAATTAGATAATCCATTAACTAAACAAATCGGATATAAATTTGACCAATTCGATCCGTTAACAGTCCAATGCAACCATAAGGTGACCTCCATGATTGTATTACAAGAATAAAATAATTAAGATAAGGAAGAAGAAAAGAAAAACTATTTGATATTTGTTTACCAAATTCAAGATAATGAATGATAATTTTTTTTATTTTTAATTTAAAATTTTGAAAAGTAAATTTTGAAAAGGCTAAGGGGTTTATCAAAATTTTTTTTTTTTTAAGTACTTCTAGTTACCTTTTGAAGTGAAATCCATTTAGTGACCATTGCATATGCTACAAAGTGCAAAGTAGCCTAGGGACCTTCTCGATTCTATCACCTTCTGTATTTACTTATTTATTTATTTATTTGTCATTGACAAGAAATTCACATACCCACTTTACTTATTTTGGGACCCGAATTCTCACTATCCATCTTGAGAGATAGAGAAGATAGGGAGAGGAAATTTATACTATGAATTGACACAACTGTTGTCCATGAAGAGTCGATCTATAATAGCAGAAATTATCTCATATGATCCTGTAACCAAATTTAGAACATTTAATAAAAGCAATGGTAATTAGGGATGGCAATTTGCCTCGCGGAGATGGGTACCCACCCCATCCCACTCAGTTTATAGCTATTTTGAAGGACCGTTTAGTTTATTTGAGTGGGGATGATTTTTATTAATGAAAATCCGAACAGGTTCGGGGCGGAGGAGGGGGAGGTCACCCTGCCCCATTTAGATTGATAAATTATTAAATTATCATTATTTTATTAGTATATACAGTTAGCTCTAGAAATTTTAGATTACATTCATTCACTTTCTCAGCCATTCTAGAGAGCGACAAAGCCCTACGAACTAAGAACGCTCATATCTTTAAATTTTATGTTAAATTATTGATTGACCATTTTTTATGAATTTTTTCAATAGTTATATAATTGTATTTGAAGAAATTTTTTTAAAAAGGATGAGAAATTGTGAAACTAAATAGGATGGACGGGGCTAGGCGAGTACCTGCAGGGTAAAAAATTTAAACGGGTAGGAAATGGTGGAAAGTCCCTCATTTGAAAGGTTTTGGGCAGGGACGGGACAAAAAATCTTAAACAATTACAGAGGTGGAAAGGGTACACCCATCCAAAACTACGCAGTTGCCATGTAATCACCGTGACTTTAATAGTGATAATATTGATTGCATAATTTTAGTAAAAACCTAATTTGAAGATAATTATAGGGTATTAAAGGCAACACAAAGAAAAAAAGGAAAAAAAGTTAAAAGTCATGTTTGATTACCGTCGTTGTTTTGTATTTTGTTGTCAGGTTGGTGAAAAAAGGAGACGAGTGCATGTTATGTTTTGTACAATCCAGCGCACCAACCTGAAAAAAAAAAAAAAAAAAAAAAAAAAAAAAAACGTTCATATTATACCATATACAAAAGTAAAAAAGAAAATCGTTTTTATTTGTAAAAGTTGTCAAAGTTGGTGAAAAACTGAAACAAGTGAATGGTGACCAAAAACACTTTTGATAACATTTATTATGTTTTGTGCAATATCACCACTCAGCCAGCTTCGAAAATGATTCATGCCCAAGAACAAACCAAAGTTATTTTCACTTGTGAAAGTCAATTTAATGTAAATACCATATATGTACACATATAACTTTTTACAAACTTCCAAATATAGAGGCAAAATATCTATATCTAACTTATGCGGTTCAAAATTCGGATCTCCTCTTGCCCATAAAGAATTATGTGCACATCATGTGCATCAAAATTACGCCATCATTTTGACGCAAACATGGTGCACAGATCCTGTCTCCTCCATCAATAATTAATAATTAGAAATGAAAATAAACAATTGAATAAAATTTATATATTTATTTTCATATTTAGTTTTTTTTTTTTCTTTTTTAAATATTAATCATGTAATAATTTGTCCAATACATGCGAGTATTTTTGGCTGTGTTACAACCGTTGACTATATACTTTCCAATCACAAATCAGTTGTGTGATAAATGATAATAGAATACAATACATCTCTATTTCCCCTTGCTTCCAAGTTTCAATGCCCCCATCCATCACCTCTCTGTGTCTCTCTCTCTAACTTCTCTTTCTCTCTCACCTCTCTAACTTCCTTTTCTCTCCCCTCTTAAACCCATTTTGCTGTTTACATAACATACAATCATTCTAGATCAAACAACCGAACAGGCCAAATGAAGATCCAGTGCGACGTGTGTAACAGAGATGAAGCCTCTGTCTTCTGCTCCGCCGACGAAGCCGCCCTCTGCGACACCTGCGACCACCGCGTCCACCACGCCAACAAGCTCGCCGGCAAACACCATCGCTTCTCCCTCCTCCGCCCTTCCCCTAAACAATTCCCTCTCTGCGACATCTGCAAGGTATTATACATCTCTCTCTCTATATACATATATGTATTTTATGAATCCGAACAGAGGGCCACTCTGTTTCTTACAATATCTATTTTTGTTAATCATGGGTTCCGTGAATACACACAGGAGAAAAGGGCGTTCTTGTTCTGTCAACAAGACAGAGCTATTCTATGCAGAGACTGTGATATCCCAATCCACAAAGCCAACGAACACACCAAGAATCACAGCAGATTTCTTCTCACCGGCGTTAAGCTCTCCGCTGTGTCTTCACTCTATTCACCAGCGTCGCCATCATCATCTTCCTCGGCCAATGCCTCTGCAACAACCACCACCACCACAACCACCATGGGAGGATGTGATTTGGTTCCGAATCTCAAGTCCGATCACAGCTTTGTCAACCAACCCATTTCTCTCCCATCCACAATCCTCAATCCACCATCAACAGTTTCACCAATCACGGACAAGATTGGGGTTGGGTCAACAAGTAGCATATCCGAGTACTTAATAGAAACCCTACCCGGATGGCATGTTGAAGACTTTCTTGATTCCTCCCCTGCCCCATTTGGTTTCTGTAAGGTTTGCATTACTCCCTATCTTTTTAGTAGCACCGAATCAGCGTCTTGAAATCAGATATCCAATAAAATTTAGTTCAAACTTTTAATTTGTGTATATCTAATTTATTTTTTTTATGTTTTATGATTGCAGACTGTTGATGATGATGTGTTGAGGTTTTGGGATACTGATTTAGAGGGCAATCTGAGTTCTTCTCTCTCCACACAGAAAATTGGGATCTGGGTGCCTCAAGCCCCACCTTCGTTTCAAAATTCTTCGTCTCAATTCAACTCCTCTTCGAATTTCGAAATTGTTGAGCAAACTGGGTTCGAGTCCAAGGAATCAACCAACACGAAATCTAGCCGAAAATGGAGAGACGAAACTTGTTTCACTGTTCCACAGATCACCACATCCTCCAAAAGATCTAGAACAGTGTTTCAGTAGCTCCAAATGAGAGCCAATTTCATATTTCTTGTTTTTTATTTCCTTTTCGTTTTTTTCTTTTTTTTTTTTTTTTTTTGGTGCTGTGATCCAAATGGGTTGTGTTTCATGATTTTGTTTTCTCTCATGTAAGAGATCTTGTGTTTGTAAATATCTTATTTTCCAAACAAATGAATGTAGCCCCAAATTGAGAGAGAATATTGAGGCCCCCATATTGAATAGAGTACGAACATTAATCATAAGCCACCTTTTCAAATGAAAGTACATTAGAGGGAAATTAATGGAAAGGAAAGGAGAGGAAAATTTTTGGGTTGGTTGGTGATTTGAAGGGAAGTGACAGATGCAAAAGCACAATTCCTTTTTCCGGACCCCCTTAGCTCTGAAAATGGAATGAGTTGTTTGTTTTTCGCGGGACTGTGACACTACGGTTAGGAAGGAGATGATTGTGATGACATGATAAATGATTAGAGATGATAAAAGGAGGGAGACATGGACTGCTGATTTGGGTTGTCCTCATTTTGACCAATTCAGAAATTTCTCAGAAGACCAGAATTCAATCATTTTCATAATCTCTGAAGCAGAGTAATTTTAGATGTTTTAGAAATGTTTTAACGTGTTTATTGTGTGTATCAAATCTGGTCAAATCAAGTAGATTTTTATCATTTGAAATCATCAATTAATAAATCAAGTGGCTAAAAATGTTTAATGGTAGTGTGGATGTAATTCTTCAATACTGGTTGTTTTCTTCAATGCAGAAATTTTAAATTTATTTCCAAGTATAGAGTGAGTTGTGCAATGATTTACGATTTTCTTTTTTCTTTTTTTCTTTTTTTTCAGTCCATCATAATTTGTGATGTGTAGACATTTTTCAATCCAGATGGTTATAAATTAGGTGAGTCCATTAAAAATTTGGGGAAAAAAAAAAACCAATTTGTTTGGTTTACTGGCCTACATTTGTCTTCAGAAAGTGTAGCAATGTTGAGTTGTTGGATGTCATAAAAAACATAATATTCATATAAAAGTTTAACTCAGAATAATAACACTACAGTGACATTTTAAAATTATAAGGTACATTTGTTTGTGTGTGTGTTTTGAGAGTGACAGAAGATAGTGAAGCACACCATGTTGTACCCATAATTTGTACACAGGAGTCACGTTTTTTCAAATATATTTATGAAAAGAAATCAAGATATTTCATATGTATATATGTTTTTAAATTGGAGTTGTAGTGTGGTGTTTGGGAGCAAAGCAATGGGACCAAGAAGTGCTTTGGCAATCAATCTCACAAGTTAAGACAAAAGAACCAATAGCCCTCAGACAGTTGTTGTCCAGTCCAGAAAGCCCTACCCACTTGCTTTGTGTAATTGGGTGGGGTGGCCTTAACTAGGGTTTGGCAGCTTACACCTGCCATGTTCAAACCACCAAAAGTGCCATCAGAGCAAACCACCAGATACAAGAAGGAAAATGATAAACGCCGCGACTCGGTATTTTTTCCGACTGGTGTCTCATTTATTCATTAAACGTATTTTTAAAGTGTGAGATTTTATTTTTATTCATCACTAATTAAGAATTATTGTTGGACACAAGTGATTGGATTGCAGAAAAAAAAAATCGATCAGCAAGTGCAGCATTACTCATACAATAATTTCGTGACCATATTATGCAGGAGTGGAGCTAGAAATTCGTTTAAGGGAGATAGTAAGGAGATTTTTTTTTTTAAGCGAATAGTGCTACAAGACAATAAGCCAAAAATAGAACTGTAATAATGGTGAAATAATAACATTTAATAATTTAAAAAATAATTATTAAAAAAAATGGAAGCATAAAATGCCGACCTTAAGAGTTGTTTTAGCAACAAATTTAATTACCAAACTTTGAAGAGAAAAAAAAAATAGTTTGAATAAAGAAATGCAACTTTTTTTTTTAAGAGAATATAAAAAAGAAGAAGAAGAGGAAGAGGAGTAAGAATGAAAAGAAAGGAAAAATTAAAGATATTTTTAAAAAATAATAATTTTAGTGGGCAATTTTGTAAAATTTTATAAAATATAGGCCTATTTGCAATAAAATTTAATTGGCCCAAGGGTAAATAAATATTTTAGGGGGTATTTTTCACTTTTTTATAAATTATTGGCCTATGTATAATAAAAATTAATTGCCTTTTTCTAGAAAAAAAAATTATCTTAGGAGGGCATTTTGAAAACTTTTATAAATCATAAGCCAATTTGTAATTAAAATTAATGAGCCAGCAAGGGCCCAGAGGGCATGTGCCCCCCAGCCTATGCTAGCTCCGCCCCTGATATTATGTATACATGCGTTTGGATGCTCTAAGAGTTAATTCGATTGAATTTATACAAGTAGAAATTGACGTTTTGTAGGACATTTGATTGAATTTATGTGAATAGAGACAGGCATGAACCTTTTTAATCTTTTTCACGGAATATAAATGAAATGTTGGGTTACAATTTTGAAGTCAAATTAATAATATTAGACTGTAAAGGTCCGTGTGCAGGGATTGCAATTTGCCCCGCACCCGCGGTTATCCGCCCCGCCCATTTTGCTTACATGGGCGAGGATGGTTTCATGTAATAAAAATCCGCGCGGGTTTGGTGCGGGAGCGGGAAAAAATCTCCTCGCACTGCCCCGCCCCGTATAGATAGGCAAATTACTTCAATACCACTTTTTCAATAGTATATATATTTACCACTATATATTAAGTACATTATATAATAATATTAAAGAAACAAATAAATTTGATTAAAAAAAAAAATTGCAATGATGAAGAATTGAAGATGAGGAAAAAAAAAAAAAAAGAGCAAATTTATTTTAACAATAAATAAATTATGATCTTAAACGGGTCGAGGCGGGTACTCGCGAGATAAAAATGTTAAATAGTTACGAGGATGGAGTAGAAAGTTTTCCCTTTTTTACAATTTTGGACGAAAACAAAGGCAGAATTTTTAAACGATTACGAAAGCAGAGAATGACACATCCGCTTAAACCCGCCCCCGTTACCATCCCCATCCTATCCGTGTGAAAGATTTAATAGTTCACGGAGTGTTTAACCTATCAAAGAAAATCTTTCAGAGTGTAGTCTCATATGTCATGGCCAATTGGTTCTTGAGCGTGACGGCCATGATAGCATTTACTATTGGATGGTGGGAGTTTTACAATGACATCCATCAATTATTCAATATTGAGTCATTTTCAACCAGGTGCACTATTTTTTCTAGTAATCCATTTAAACTTTAAATTATAATCCAAGAAAGAAAAATAATATTACGTGTCATCAAATTGTTTGATTATCTACTATCAATATTTACATTAGACATGTAAATAATTTATTTATATTTTTTCACCTTTTAAAATAGAAAATTCAACAAAAATAAAGTAAAAACAAGAGTTAGAATTACTTCTTTTTTTTTAATTATTATTATAGTATATCAAATTACTTCTCTAAACCTTAAAATAGCCTAATTATACTTTTTTACCTTTTAAAATATAGTTTAGGATTTATAGTATCAAGTTTCTAGAACATAAGGCTCCTTTGGCATCCGTTTTGTTTTAAGCGTTTTGTTTTTGACTAAAACAAAAACAGTGTTTTTGTTGTAGGGGTATTTTGAAAAAAAATTGAATACACGTTTAAGAACGATCTTTTGCTCTGAAAATGTCGACAATAGAAATATGCACAATTATGATTTTGGGTCATGAATGATTGTCAAAATAAGAAAAAATATATATATTTTTATTATTTTGGTTTTGGACCACTGATCATGAAATGTTTTAACACTATGTAAAATAAAATAAGACCGCACTAAACATACTTTGTTGTCAAAATCAACATTATAGTAACCAAAAAATAAAAACAGTAGAAATAAATCGCATGTCAAATGGGGCTAAGTGATTGTGCGGAATATATGATATTTTGAGCCATCTTAAACTTCTAATCTTGAGAGAAAAACAAAACAAAACAATATATATATATATATAATCTTAAAGCCAACTATAGAGAAAGGTCTTAAAGCCAACTATAGAGAAAGGTCATATTGCTGCTAAATGGTCAAATCATGGTTGATTTGGTCAATTTCATGATTGAATGAGAACAATGTTGTTGTATGCAAGTTGAGTCAGCCAACTCTTTCCCAATTAAATAGTAAGGCCCACCATCACACATGTAGAACAGGGAAGGACACTGAAATTTTTTTATTTCCATTTATTACCTATGATTTTGGTTAAATTATAATAATGGCTGCACAAAGTAGTAGTTAAAATTTACTATATTTAAACTCGCCCCTGTCAAGTTTTGGGTCTTCAAACTTAAATCCTCTATCACTCTCGCAATTTTACACTCTTTTTTGGCCTTCAAACCAACTATCTCTAGCCTATGGAGTATGTACGACTCTTTCTTGTAAAAATCGTAATTGTTGGCAACATAACTTTAATTTTTTAAAATTTTCCTGCCAAAAGTTGATGGCGGGTCAGATTTTGAAATGTTTTCATATTGCACAACCTGACAGGCCATTAGTACACTGGCCCAAGTTTTATGCTTGTCAGCCTATAGAGTCCACCAATAAGCCCGGTGGCCCATCCCAGTTAGATCGTTGGTGGTGATCATGGATATTTTGATTGCACAATGGATGAAACTCAAAGGAGTATAAATGAATGGACATGCAGCATTATTTAATAGTTTAAACTTTTGAATAAATGGGCAAGCGATCATCGTGATGCCACGAAAAGTCCTTGATAAAACTAAAATATAAAATTAATTTTTTTTACAAAAATAAATTATTGCCCATTTGTTGTGTTGAAGTGTTTGTGTTTCATAAAAGTCTCGAAGATTGTAAGGTAAATAGTTTGAGTCTCCCCCCAGTACATTGTGACTCTTAAGTGCCAAGAGGCCCAAGACCCTTCTAAAACACATCCGGAATATTGTACTCTAATTATTAACGAATTAGTGTCCCTTCTATGGGCCTTGCTAGGCTTCAATTGATGGGCCTCTCTGGTCTTTGTTGACCTTTGGGTCGAACTCTTTTGTTCTGTTGGGCTCTTGCCCCGGCCTACCACGCCCTTGTAAATATTTTCTTATTATACATATAAAAAAAGAAAAGAAACTCTTGTTCGAGATAATTTGACCACTCATTCTTTTTCGTAACTGAAAAAAAAAAAAACAAAACCTACCAAGTTATGTATGATTCCACTTAAATGTGTTGGTAGAATTGAAATGAGAGATATTTTGCAGATGAAGCGGTTGTGCAACTTAAGTCACACAATCTTTCTTAACATGTGTCGCTTTCATGTTTTGAATACCACTCATTCTTTTTCTTTAACTAAAAAATAAAAATAAAAATAAAATAAAAACCCTACCAAGTTATTTATGATTTCACTTGAATGTGTTGATAGAATTGAAATGAGATATATTTTGCGGATGAAGCGGTTGTGCAACTTAAGTTACACAATCTTCTCTTTCATGTTTTGAATGTATTCCTGTTCATACGTTTCAAGCGCATTTTCGTTCAAACTTTTACTATTTATGACTTAATTATGTCATCGCTCTCACTCCCGCTCTCTTTTTATGTGACTTAGTGCGTAACTAGAACCTGTATTTGTCATAAATTTCATAAGAAAATTGTTGGCACCACCCCTAGTCGTGTGTGAATGAGGATCCGATCATCATCAACTTTGCTTGTAAGCCACTGCCTTGCATACGTGCACATAATAACATGTATCTATTTATTGTATGTGTACAATATTGATAATTAAATCAGAAACCATTGTTATTATTCGTGACGCAGGCCTTTAGAGCTAGCTAACAATTGATCAAGATCGTTGTACATTTTATTTTAAAACCTTTAATTTTGTTCGACCATTGACCCGAGAACGAATAAACAAAAACTCATTAACTCCAAGTAAATCAGAGAATCATAACAACAACTTGTAAGCCATATATAATTGTTAAGTACGACAACAACCATGCAAAAAAAAAAAAAAAATGAAAGACAGATCAAACACTTGAACCAACAAATTTTAGAAGACTGCCATAATTAGTGTGCCATATATGAAGTTAAACATGCATGATAGGTAGAGTTAATTAGGGACGACGTCGTCGGCAGTGAGCTTTGCACATATGCTGACAGTCATAGAAACATGGTCCACCACAGTGAAGAGGACAGTCCAACCTCATGCCTCTACACCTCCCTCTGCCCATGCATTCTGCAAACTCTCCAATCTTATACTCTTCTTCTTTGTCGAAAACTCTCTTCCTGTGCATATGATTTTTATGAATCCTTCTCCCTCTCTCTCTATCTCTACCATGGTACTTTCTTTGTGCCCTGCATCCCCATCCCCACCAACCACCACCCCCTCCTCCTCCTCCCCACCCCCATCCACCTCCTCCACCACCCCCGCCGCCACCTCCTCCTCCTCCACCCCATCCCCACCCGTAACCACCGCCTCCACCACCACCACCTCCTCTGTGATGTTTCTTATTGGTGTTAACTACAACTTCAGTGTATGTTCTGTTTGGCTTCTCTGCTGCCATGCCAATGCTACTACTACTGTCTTCCTTTTGGTCATCATCACCTCCTAGGCCAACAATTGCTAGACAGAGAAACAAGAGGACCCATATGCTTCTTCTTGCCTTTGCCATCTTTTGGTAAGCTCAGACATACAAATGTGTGTTTTGTGTGTGTATATATAATATATCATATAGGTATTGTGACCTTGACGCTACTAACCAATCCTCACAATGGATGAATTCTTAGAGAGAGAAAGGGATGACTTGGGGTGCACTTCGTCGGTTCGTCCCCACCTACATATCCATATACGCATGCAACAAAAGTGCACTATGCCACTCACATCAGTCATCACCACAATTGTATTCTGATCCCACGCTCCACAAATTAAGAGCACTCCGTTTTGAAATCACTTAAAAAGAGATTAATGGTCAGGGTATTGCAGATTAAAACCTATTTGTCAGACAATGTGCATTTTACTAGAGTTTTGCATGTGCATTGCACTTTGTTAGCTTAGGCCTTCATTTTATTTTATTTTTTATTTCAACGTTGTTGGACATTGGCAATGGGATATAGTTGGTACTTTTTGCTGTATTTGCTTTCTTTCCTATACCTTTGTCTCTTTGGCAGTAAATCTCCCCTGTATTTTTTTTTTTCTTGCTAAGCAATTTCATATCACACACACACACATATATATACACACACACATACAAATATATAAAATAAAAAGTGCAGGGGTTGCGGAGCATATCTATGCCATCATATTTCCACATGAAATGAAATTATAGCTAGTTGAGAGTTTCAGAGAGCAATTGAATATTTCGGTGGCATGTTGTCTATATGATTGGTGCACAAACCAATAATGTTTAGCTCCTATACCATTAGTCGACTGTAAAGTCAATACCAAACAACGTCAAATACCTAAACAACGTTCAGAAATTAAAAACCACCTTGACAGTAGTTACCCAAGGCCATAATTCAGTTACATAAACAATTTGTCAAATAAGTCACCAAATAAAAACCCAGAACAAAATACGTAGTTTACTCGGTACCATAACCTCCAATCCTCGAATAGACCACTAATTTTGTGAGCTCAGTACCTGCGATGATAAGGAGGAAAACGCTCCATGAATCTACTACCCGAAGGACACTCGAATGACATGTGTCCCCTGCCACCACAGGTGTGGCAGATCACCATGGGCATGGTCATGGGAGGACCCATGCAATCTCTGCTCATGTGACCAATCTGATTACAGCTCCGGCAGACAACATCTCTAAAACTACCATAGCTTCCACTGCCACCCCTCTCTCTAAGCGAATCAGCCTTTGGGCATTGCCGAGCTACATGTCCGGATATGTTGCACAAATTGCAAACTGGTTCATTCTGACATTCGCGAGCAATGTGGCCGGTCTTCCTGCAGTTCTTGCATGCTTTGTCATTTGTACATTCATTAGCAAAATGCCCTGGTTTATAGCAATTGTTGCACAACCTCACATCACCAGCTGGCAGCTCAGAATTATGGCAATCTTTGGCACGATGACCAGACTTGCCACATGAATGGCAGATGCCTTCATTGGGACAATTGCTGGCCATGTGTCCTGATTCTCGACAATTCCAACATAGCGCCTTTGAGCTGCATTCTGATGCAATGTGCCTGGTAAGAAAAAGGATTTGCCAGCATAGATCAAAATCTGTGTGGAATGCTGAAAACAGAGGTGTGCATTTGTGCTGAGAATGTGCCGGTATGAAAGGAAGAACTTTCTTACCCAGGAAGACCGCAGTTGTTGCAAATAGCCACATTAGGGCATTCTCTTGCAAAATGTCCTGCCCGCTTGCAGTTGTTGCACAAGTTGCTTTGGCTGGATACACATCCCAGAAATTCATACATTACAAGTATAAACTAATCCAAAATAATTTACATCCAACATTATAGTTTTACATGCATTCGAAATAACATTTTATTCTCTACGTTTTCCATTCATCACCCCTTCGCTGATTCTAGGAAGGTTTCTATCAGAATTCCCTAAAAGAAAAAGAATCCATACACTTCTAAATATGGCAGGAGATTTTATCACTAACAAACCTATATAATTTAAGAAAAATATGACATTCAATTAATCTGATGGTCTCAATCACGACATGAAGCGCAGGTGTTTCAATCAAACTAAAGAGAAGCATATCAAAATCCTGTGATTAAATGCAAATAAAAATTGTTGCTCTGTTATCCAGCATTTGCAAAATCCTTTTCCCACAATGCTAATAAAAGAAACAAACTAGTTCCTAGCATCCAAAATATGGGCACCTGGTAACTTCACAGATAAACTCTTGAACATCTCATCGTAATGAATAAAACTCTTTTTCCAAGATATAAATCAAATCCCATTTCCAATTTCTATATCGTTTAACAGCAAATATAAGAAACTTGTGATGATATTGTCCATGTATAGCCATATCAAAACTCACAAGCCACAATCTCAACCATATCAATAGTTAAGTGTGCTTAGATCATCCACAATAACTGGGCTACACCTACACATCCCCAAAGCTTGACAACCCTGATCCAGAAAAATAAATAAAAAAGGAAGTTGATATTCAATGTAAAGGACTGATTTTCAAGCAGCTACTGCATAACAATCATAAAAGCAGTAAATGCTGACAATTTAAGTACACCAATGATTGAAGGGTGTGCGCATGTTTTCAATTATACGCTAGATGTAAAGATGAAAGTATAGGATTAAAAGATTCTGCAGCAAATTGACATAGAAGGACCATGATATTAAAAATCAAAACAGGCCCAGGCACGAGGAACTGTAAATGAATATGTTAAGCAGGCATTCACAATATATGAGAAAAATAAAAAAATAAGGATGCATGGTACATGTTATGCTTGTCCAAGCCCAGAAAACAAGCCCTTCTAAAAAAACAAGAGAATATAAGTTCAGCTCAGAACAACCCACATTGCTAATTCAACCTTGGGTTATATTATTTGATAATTTTGATGTGGTAGGAAAGGACTCTACGAAGCCCCAATTATGAAGCTCCTAAACCCCAAGTACAAAGAGAATTGAATAATCATGAGAAAGTCCACAACCAAAATTATCAATACAAAATTCTTTGCATCCTAAGGGACATGCTCTAATAAGATTCCAATTGAAAAATAAATCCATCAGAATTAGTTTGGCAACCTCTAAAGGGAGAGGAGTAGGGTTCAATTTCAAGTCCCAGTTCAAACATGGTGCGTCACTGATACATACATATATATATATACATACATAGATATATATCTATATATATATAGAAAAAGATAAAGAACAACAGGAAAAGCACAAGAATGTTATTTAAGTCAATATCCATATATATATGTATATAGCAATTGCCAACTATTGCCTTTGTCTTATTAAATCATTCTCCTACCATCCTTCCATGAACAATTCGATCGAAGATAAATTCAATTGGAAACCAAATTAACCTGAAACCCCGACGTGAATCCCTCCGGTAAGGAGCATCACGATATGAAGAGCGTTGAGATCGAACCCTGCGATCTCGTGGACTCCTGCTTCTGCTCCTGCTCCTGCTTCGGCTCATGCTTCTACTGCTTGAACTCATGTTCAAATCTCCTACTATTCACGCACCCACCACCGATCCACAAACACAACTCCACCAGAGTGTCTGCACCTAGCCTGTTAACATTAATCATACATCCAAAATAATCTCCATTAACCCATTACATATCTTACCTTAATCTTCAAAATGAAAACACCAAATTCTAACACATTAGTTAAATCTTAGTCCAATAAACAACCACCTCATTTACAAATCTCTACATCCCATACCAAACCATGTAAACTTTAAAATATATTTCTTCAACTAGAGCACATCCTCCATGTGAACTCACTAAGTTCTTGAGCAAGTAATGCTAGATAAATGTTGTGGGCACCAGACATAATAATATATAGTACACCACTATCCCACAATCAATCATCGCAAACAAGCAGCATAATCCATTAATCCCTGTCCCACCTTTTCATATAGCCTCTTCCAATTCACACCAAGAAGCAGTTTTTTGGTTAAGGAATTCATAAAAGAACATATAGATTTCATGTTGAGCATTAAGACAACTATAAAAGAAATTCTGCGAAGTTCTAATGTAATTCTAGCAGCACCACTTTAATTTTTTCATATATTTTTTACTGCTTTTAAATTTTAGCATTCATAAAATATATTAGACGTTTCAAACTACGCGCTACATTTGCGTTTGTAGAAGTGTTTAACAAAATCTGGAGGTCAAAAGTTTCGCTGATATCGGATATACCATTGATGCTTTATAACGCTGCCATGAGAGGTTTCTATAACCTCTCTTCGCTAGGATTCACTGAAGAGGAAAGTAGGGGTGGTTGCTTACAATCATCATAAAGTTATCGGCAAGCATGCAAAGTTGCAGGCAAAAGCAAATGTGGAGATAGATGGTAAAAACTGTCTAAAATGAGATACGATATAGTAGTTCAATATTTGGGAAAATGCTTATTTATGTTAATCCAATTGTTTTGGATCAGTAAAATTTGTGATAACCCATTATGCACCTGCGAACTTAAAGAGCTTGATAATTTTTTGGAAGATGCCAAACCACTAAAACCAAAATGCTTACTATAAGAATTAAACACTAAGAAATCTTTTGTTATGCAAGATGCACTGGGTGAGATTTAGTTTAGAAAAAATAAAAGTAACTCAACCACAAGCCAAATAAAAGGAATGAATCATGATCCCTGACACACAATATCAACAAAAAACACTAAAAGAGAAACAAAAAGATTATAAACAAAGGAGATTTTTTTTATTGGCTAAGAAAAATAATGAAAATGTATCTTCTAATCAAGCTTATTTACAAAAATATTCCATATTAGGTGATGTTACTGCTCTGGGATAGAAACTTTCCTTTTCTCACTCATGCGCTTTTATGACTTCCTCTTACAATATAAAACGACAAATAGAAATTCAAAAACATCAAATGATATTCTGAAAAGTTCAATTTAATTAGAAATTAATATTTATGAAATATGTCATAACACAAGAAATACATAAAACAGCATGCTGATTGCCAGATTCAGCACAAAAAGTAATTACAAAAATAAAATTGTGACTACTTTCATCCAAGCCCCGCAACTTTAGAAAGAAAAACAGTCTATAATTATTCAAAAATTAATAATAATACTAACTTATCCCAAAAAAAAAAAAATTAATAATAATACTAATTACTCCCCTTACTTCTTGTTCAGATTTTTTGGTTAAATTTTTTTCTTACAAGGTATTTTATTATTCCTTGCAGTTAGAGAAATATTTCCTCTACCAATGACTGAAAATAAATCTAGTAGTCATGAATTTGGATGCTTCCTACATATCCAAACCCAAGAATCTCGAAACCACAAAGGCTTCAACTCACTTCTGTTCCACAATCACTTATGTACCCACAATGGTTTTAAATCGCAATATCGGGTTACAATACAGTTACTGTCGTGGAGTAATGCGCGCTACCAGGAGTATTGAACAAGACATAACGGAAATGATTATCAATGCTATGAATTTTTTAATCAATAGCAAACCACTAAAAGTCATGAACGCACAAGGTCTTTAACCTAATTTAACACACGTTTAATCTTTTAGTTGTTTTTAGTCAATGTTATGACACCTATAAACATGTTTATTAATTGCGTTGAAGCTTATGATGGTTTCAAATCAAATTAAGACCGAAGTATTATTTATTGCGAATAATATTGCATTAACCACTGAAGTAATAACTAGAAAATGCAACTACAGCTAGATCACAAAAAATAAATAAACAAATAAAATAATAGCTAAACATTTAATAAACTAGGAGGAAAAATAAAAGCTAAACATTTAATACCTCTTAAATTTTTAACTTCACATTCATGATAATTCTAATCATCTTACAAAACAGAAATCCATGTGCCTATTTATAAAACGTTCATGCTATAATAATCAAAAGAAAAGAAAGACTAATAAATAATTCTTTGTCTGAGCCTGACAGCTTAGGTATGATCAACAAAATCTTCAATTTAACTGTTCTAGCCTCCAAATCATTAGTCCAGCCTTCAATATGAGTTTGGGAGATATTGTTCGAGCATATCAGTTGTCATGGCCATGAAGTAATGGTTGATACTGTCATGGACATTACAACTGTTACATAAAATCCATATAAATTCTTTACGTCCTGGTAAATCAAGGCGTAACCAAATCGGGTCTAGAGGACCAAAATGGGACACCTACAGACCATAAAATACTCGCTTAGGTTACGCAACAAATATTTGATACCATGGTACCTACTCCAACTTCATGGCCTATAAAGCTAAGTTAATTACTAGAATTTCCCATCAGTGATAAAGAAACTAATGTGTTTTGACTCTACTAATAGGATTTCAAATTTGGTAGTGTTCCAATAACCAAGAAGTTGTTAAAAACAACTAAAACAGGATTAAAATAGATGGTGAATCCATAGTAGTACTCTATAAGTTCACTGTATTTGTGTAGTGTGGTCTCCTTTTTAAACTTCTTATCCACTGAATATTGCAAGCATCCCTTTTATAGTTGAATCATGTGAAACAAACATGAATTTTTAGTGCCTACAATTCCTACACTGAAGTGGAATAATATAACCAAACACAACAAACACCCAAGAAAGACTTTGATCCATAAGTCACTTGCCATCAAAGCAATAGTACAATAAAATTGCTACAAATGGATTGCCGACTCAAACACCATGATGAGGAATCTGAAATTTTACTAAAAGGATCAATTTAAATAAGAAACAAAACCCAAGTGGATTTTCATAGTGTGGGCACACAACAAACCTAACTTGGAAAATACGTTTTGCATACACCACATCACAATTTTATGTTTATTGAAATGTATAAATAAGTTACTGGTCCAAAAAATAAAAACATTCAGTTGCTTCCTTCAATGTTGTCATTTATAAAATTCTCTGCCAAGCATTATTATATATAAAGAAAGGGCTTAGGCCAGTGCACGAGGCTCCAGCCATTGCGAGGTTTGGGGAGGGTCACATATACATAGTCTTACCTCCGCATGGAGAGACTGTTTTCGGTTTCGAATCCATGACCTCCAGATCACAAATATATATATGTGTGTGTGTGTGTGTGTGTGGCTCTCTTTTTTTACTTAGTAAAAAAATTATGGCTTGTTAGTCCATATTAATTATCCATTTGACAGAAGATAACCCCAACTGAATGAAGATATGAATAATAATAATTTTCGATTTTAGCCATTCTGGCATCCAAGCAGAGAATTTCATAAGAATGGTCAGCACAGCTTTATCTTGCAATACAACTCTTTACTAAGGAAAACGACAAAAAGCAAGCTTTGACGAAGCTCCTACAGAAACCAGCTTGAAACCATCCAATTTGGGTAGCAAAAGCGGAGCATTCTGTTGATCCAATAACCCCAGATCAGGCGTGGTTTATCAACTCTTAACTGACTAGATAAAATAATATTTTAGTCACAGAATTAATCTGTCAGAATTTGTCGAACAATGATAAAGTGAGACTAAAAATTCATAAAATCATATGGTATAATCCCCTCAATACTATGGTACATGACAAACAATAGCATAAGCTTTTAATGGAACTTCTCTGTATAATTTGTCCCATAATTAAACTTCTCAATTGTTTTCTTTTTTTTTTTTTGATAAGTAGAGATAGCTTCTCAAATGTTTCTATTTGGTTTGAAAGAAACTTCTCAAATGCCATACAACAAAAATTCAAGAACTGCAATTTCAAAACACTAACTTTGGCATCACATGTGATTTTGCACATAGAAATATACATTGAAACATGATACAACCACTGGCAGCATGCTGAACTCCATCTCTTCCCAACCACCATTGCTAGAATTTCCACAATATTCTTGATCTATTATGGCATAATTATAGAAAACATGAAAAATATATATATATAAATCAAATTGTGTAAAAGCAACCTAAACAAATTTGATGAAGTCAGATATGTGGAACAAACAAGTAAAACAGTTAAGTCCAAAGCATAAGGAAAAACTCCATGCGTGTGTGTGTGAGAGAGAGAGAGAGGAGGGAGGAGGGAGGTAGAGGAAGTTTTAGTTAAGTCATTGAGAATCTTAATGTCCTTAATTATGAAAACATAGAATGAAATTTGTAAAATTCAATGGGAGTATTGATGTAAAAGGAAGTAGGAAAATAATGATGACGAATAAGAAAGGCATGATTATACCACCCTTGAAAAGCCATCCATAATAACAATCTCACTTAATCGCCAGCGAAACATGTCAAATGACAATATTAGCAATATTTGTACCAAATCTCCACCTTAAACTATAACCTGATATAGCCAGGGTGTATGACCAAGAATACTTCAAGTAAGCCGAGCACCTCCACTATCACTCAAACATGAATTTTACAACACTATCAATACTATTGGAAAAAATTCGAAACAAGTTACCGAATCTGCTCCTAAATAAAGATAATTCACTTGCAGCCATAAAGTAGTTTAATGCAAACGTAACCCTGGTTATATTTGAAGATGGATGCAGAAACAGAAAAAAGAAATGCATGGATACATGCACAAGCACAGTGCGTGTAAGCACCAGCCACCATACTGCAAAGATATCTTGTTTCTTCCAATTCAGAGATAAACTTCATCCATGTATGACTAATGCGCAGTATACAGACTTGGCCAAAGCCTCTGTCGTAAAGTCCAAATCAATAATATTGTATTAATCCAATTTCTGCAAGATCCTCATTACTGTCAATTGATATACTCCACGTGACAGTAATTAGCAAGCTGCTAGTACCTTGGGCTATACCAAAGATAATTCATCAGCCCGTTTTTTATAAGACTCAGCTGGTTTATAAATCTCATGGACAACAAAACAAGCAAAATACAAATAAAAATCACATTGTTTGCTTCGCTGGGAATGTTGCACAAAAAAAAAAAAAAAAAGCACAGAGAGTGTGTGTATCCAATGCAAAATTTATAAGGATTAGCCAACAAAATATCTGAAAAATTCACAAAAAAAAAAAAAAAAGAGTAGAACAATGAATATGACACATTCTTCGCAACTTAATATCTATAATCAAGCCTTAAGCAAAAAGCACATTTTCTGCAAATTAATATATATAATTCAACAACTCTTGTGTTTCCATGACATTTCCTTATCGTTTTATTCTCTTTCCATTCTTTTTCCTAAGGACCAAACGGAAAAAGTCTCTGCTCATTCAGAAACTCGTGAAATCTTAATCCTTCAAACCTTTCCAGGAAGATAAATGCAACTGTTTAAAAGAACAAAAAAGCAAAAACAAAAAAGCGAAAAACACGAAAGATCGAATGAACCCTAGAAGTCGTGATTTCACCATAAAGATTAATGGTAATTGCGAAATGATTATACAAAATTTATATATATATACAGATTATATTATAATAGAATGAAAATATATGAATACAGACCTCGAGATTTCAGAGGCAAATCAGCTTTACGTCCTCGGAAGAGAAATTTTTGGTGCGTCTAACGAAAGATAATATTCTCTCATCTTACAGTAGTCTGAGTCTGGAGTGAACATGTGCGCACTCTATATATGTTAGATCTGATGGAGGCCCAGTCTGTACCAATGGTTTCGTGGGGCCAATTAAGATCAGTCTATCCTGGACCATCTGATTTAGACACGTCAGGGAAGAAAATTATTATATATATACGTTGAGCCGATTTTTATTGCAGTTTTGCTCTGTTAAAAACCTTTCGACAGAGTAAAAACATAGTAAAACAATTTTTGCATATTAAAAAAAAAAATTAAATCTTTTTTATGAAACTTTTTTGTTTAACTTCATATTCCCAAAATAATTTTCTTAAAACACTAAAATAAATTTTTCCAAATATTTTGTAGTTTCTATACTCATAATTGCTCTGAGATGTTTTAGAAAATGGAATTATGTTATTCTTATAATAATTTTGATATCATATATGCAATTTATCGCTACATTGTTGTAATAGTATTTTTGCTTTTAAATTTTTTATTTTTTTTTATCATTTCAAAGGCACAAAGGCCAAGCCATGAATGAAAGTACAGAGGCAAAAAACCAAGCCAGATAAAGGCATATAAATCATGAAGCAAAACAAGAAAAATGAAGAACAGACTCCAGATTTATTGAGAAAGAGACACAGTTCAACAGAACTTGAAAAATAGGGAATTACGAATGGTATATTTTCATTCATATTTTTGTCTGTCGATGTATAATCTATATAGAGAGGATGATCTCCTACAATTAGGCTATAAAATCAATCACACATTTACAGCCCATAATGAAGCACGATTTCGCAGCTAATATACTGCAAGTCAATCAATCTAAGAATGGAAAGAATCACAAACGATTATATCCTCTTAATCTCCTAGAATCTCAACACTCCCTCTCAAGTTGGTGCATAGATATCACACATGCCCAACTTGCCTAAAAACTTTAAGAATACTCGATAGGAGAATGCTTTGGTGACGATGTCGACCAGCTAATCTTCTGATTTTATTTTAGGCAACTCCACAATCTTTCCATCTAACTTTTCCTTGATGAAAAATTTGTCTACCTCGACATGCTTTGTACGATCACGTTGTACTGGATTATCAGCAATGTCAGAAGCTGCTTTATTGTCACAAAACAGTTGCATTAGTTTCCTAGACAGGTAACCCAAATCCCGTAAAAAGAGTCTTAGCTATAATGCTTCACAAAATCCCAGAGCCATACCTCTAAATTCAGCTTCTACACTTGAGCGAGCGACAACACTCTGTTTCTTACTTCTCCATGTCACAAGATTACCACCTACGAAGGTAAAGTAACCAAAGGTAGATCGCCTATCATCCACGGCACCGCCCCAATCAGCATCGGTATATACATCTATGCTTTGATAATCTGAGTTCTTAGTGAACAAGATTCCCTTTCCAGGAGCAGATTCCAAATACCTTAAAATACGCATAACTGCATTTATATATTGCTCTCCAGGATTATGCATAAACTGATTGACAATACTTAATGCATAGGCTAGATCTGGTCTTGTATGTGCTAACTACATCAATCTCCCTACAAGTCTTTGATATCTTCCTTTATCAGTTGGTACTTGGTTGGACTCAATACACAACTTTAAACCTTCCTCCACTGGTGTATCAATTGGTTGACATGCTGACATACCGGTCTCTTATAAGAGATCTAATGCATATTTTCTTTGGGATAGAAAAATTCCTTTATTGGATCGGGATACTTCAATCCTAATAAAACATTTCAAAGGGCCTAGATCTTTCATTTCAAATTCTTTAGACAAGTAATTCTGTATGGCCATCCTTTCTTCAAAATCATTCCCTGTAACCACTATGTCATCCGCATATACAATTAAGTGCAATGATCTTACCCTGCAGTTTTTTGAGGAATAGAGTATGATATAAATTGCTTTGATGATAGCCAAATGCTCTCATAGACTTCGTGAACCTTCCAAACCAAGCTTTCGGAGATTGCTTCAATCCATATAACGATTTATTTAGTCTGCACACCTTCTGACTATGCCTCTCAGGAATCATGCACCCAGGCGGGAGATCTATGTAGACTTTTTCAGATAATTCGCCATGCAGAAAAGCGTTCTTTACATTGAACTGTTGTAATGGCCAATCCAAATTCGCAGCTAAAGATAACAGAACACGAATTGTGTTGATTTTGGCTACTGGTGCAAATGTCTTTGTGTAATCGATCCCGTAGTTTGAATGTACCCCCACCAGTCTCGCTTTAAAACGTTCAGTTGTGCCATCTGCTTTGTACTTTACAGTGTAAATCCACCGACATCCAACTGTTTTCTTTCCTGGTGGGAGACCAACAAGTTCCCAAGTTTCATTCTTCTGCAGGGATTTCATCTCCTCGTTCATAGCTGCTTTCCACCTGGGGTCAACTAAGGCTCTCTGCATACAGTTAGGAATAAAAACACTGGACAATTGATTCACAAATGAAATATTTGATTTAGACAAACGATGGTTAGACACATAATGACTCATGGGATATTTGACTTTATTAGAAAGCCTGGACTCATATGTAGGTTTAGGAATACCTCTGGTGTGACGCTGTGGCAACTGTCTTCTGTGTGGCTCAGGAACATCTTCAGAAAGCGATTGGTATGGTATGTCGAATGGAATTGGAGGCGGACTTGCTTCTTGAGGTGGACTTGTTTCTTCTATTATTGGGTATTCATCACCATTTTGATCCAATGTTGTACCACTTAAATCCAATTCACCTATTTCTTGATTTGCTGGTTCAACTTGTGAGTCATCACCACTTGAATCCAGATCGCCCACATTCTGGTTAAATGACTCAGCTTCCTCAGAAGTGGGATAATCATACTCTAAAAATCATAATCCAGAGTCTGAATTCCCTTTTGGTACTCCCCATGAAGTTCAGACTCAGAAAAACACATCGAGTCTTCGTAAAAAACAACATCCATTGTAATAAACATTCGCTATGAGGGAGGATGATAACATCGGTACCCCTTTTGATGAGTGACATACCCAATAAAAACACACTGCAATGCTCGAGGAGTTAACTTGTTGCGTTGGTGTTTATGGAGGTGTACAAACACTACACAACCAAAGACACGAGGAAGTAAATTCGGTACGGTTGGGGCAACAATTGCTTCAATGAGAGCTTAGAACGATGTTTGGAAATCAATAGTGCTGGAAGGTATCCGATTGATTAGATAGGCTGCATAAGTAAGTGCTTCTCCCCAGTAGGATAACAGCATGTGAGCGTTTATTAATGAAGTGCGAATAACCTCCAATAAGTGTCAGTTTTTACGTTCCGCAATCCCATTTTGTTGAGGTGTGTTGGAACAAGTAGTTTGATGGATTGTTCCATGTGCTTCCAAATACTATTAAAGTTCAGTACTCTAATATTCTCCACCATTGTCACTGTGAAGAACCTGAATCTTGTCATTGTACTGAGTTCCAATCTGTGATAACCCTGTTGGCGGGTGTGCCGTGGGCGGGTGCGAGAAACACTGACAGGCTACCACAAACGTAGCCGTAGCTCGTCAGTGTGGTAGCCTGTCAGTATCTCTCGCACCCGCCCACGGCACACCCGCCCACAAAGTCATCACAATCCACCCCCCTTGGAGGCCCGATGCGATACCCCTCGATTCTAGAGCCACGGGTGATCAAGTACGAGCACAGATCCGAGGGATACCAAACAATTAATATGTAAACAAGCAGAAAAAAATTGAATTAAGAACAAATTAATAATACGCTGAAAGAAATCTAACATAAGAATCCTCAAACTTGAAATAAATAAATTAATATGATTTAAAACCGTACAACTCGGGAATCCACCTACTGGACCCCTAATCCCAAATCCTTGAACAAATTTACGGAATTAAAAACCAAAATTTAAAATAAAAAGGAAATCCTATGTAACCGGAAGAGTGAGTGTCTGTATCTGCATCAACACGATCCAGCTCTAAGACTGGTACTGTCGAACACCTGAAAAATAATAGAGTGGGTCAGGCCCACATGCAAGTCCTGATCTACTACGATCCAAACAGTAATCCGATACGCAGATACATCCTAGAAAGACTCAACAATATCTAGAGTAGTCCATATATGTATATATAGTACACACTATAGGACGCTCGCTAGTCCAGTAGGTCTGTCTCAGCCTGAATAGAAAGCAACATGCGAATACGCACCCGAAGGTGGACATGAGTACCTAGACCTACCAGGGAATAACACCTATGTCCAGTTATCCATCCTAGGCGATATACGCGCCCTAACCATGGTCCTGAGACTCAAGCTCATACCATAGCACATATCATAAATATATAAAGACCGTACTCCTAATACAAAATATCATCCATCTGTATAGTGGTCTAATATATGTATAACAAATCCATCCTGAAACCATAATAGGTCATTCAATTTATTTGATTGACATGACACAAGTAGGTGATGGACTTAACCTTTATGCTTAATCCATACCTTAATCCAAATTAGGTAGGACTTAGTATTTTGAACTAATCCATTCCCAATATAGGTAGGTCTTAGTGTTTTGAACTAAGCTATCCCTAATATGACACCGTCCCATACCAGTTCATATATATCCATATAAGTAGGACTTAACCTTGTTATGGTTAATCCAACTCATTCCAAATTAGGTAGGATTTAGTGCTTGAACTAATCTATACCTAGTATGTCACCGTCCCATACCGGTACATACAATCATCCAGTTAACATAGTTGACAAACAATATTAAATAATCATCAACCATTATCCATAATATGCATAAATACCATTTAATACATATAACAAGTCAACAGGAATTATTACAGAATCCAAACATCACATTTTAATCATTTAAAATGCTAATATAAGTCATAGTATTCCAGTCCTCCATAGAATCCTTAAATTGATAAAACTTATAAAACAAACATATCAATTTATTCCTAATCAAGAACAGATGATTTCAAGCACTTACTATTCTTATACTTCTGTTTAAATATAATTAAACAATAAATTATGTAATACAGAAATTCCAAACTCCAGTACATAGTTTAATGTTCA